CCAGCAGCGCTGCGTTCGCGACACCCCACCGGCCCACGGGGAAGTCGCCGTTACCGGTGGATCCAAGTTCCTATCCTCGCGAGGAAAGTTGTCGCCCGGGTGTTGGTAGACAGTGTCCTGTAGTGCGCGTCACCCCACCGGCCCACGGGGAAGTCGCCGTCACCGGTGGATTCAAGGTCCTATCCTCGCGAGGAAAGTTGTCGCCCGGATGTTGGTAGACAGTGTCTTGTAGTGCGCGACACCACACCGGTCCACACGACGCGACTGGGGAAGTCGCTATCACCGGTGGATCCAAGGTCCTATCCTCGCGAGGAAAGTTGTCGCCCGGGTGTTGGTAGCCACTGTCTTGTAGTACGCGACACACCACCGGCCGACGGGGAAGTCGCCGTCACCGGTGGATCCAAGGCCCTATCCTCGCGAGGGCAATTGTCGCACGGGTGTTGGTAGCCAGTGTCTTGTAGTTCGCGACACCCCACCAACCCACACCTCGCGACCTGACGAAGTATCCGGTTGGTTGAAGTCGTAGTATGGTGGATTGAAGACTCTACTTTCGTGTGGGAAAATTGGCCCCCGCTTTAGGTAGCCAGTGTCACATAGTCCGCGACATCCGACCTACTCACACGACGCAGCGTGTGGAAGTCACTGTTGGTTGAATTGAAGTCACAACCACTGGTTATTGACTGTTGATGGCGAGTCGTGTAGTTCGTGACATCCACGCAGAATCTTCCCGACTTGAACTGCGAGCTGCTCTTCAGTTACTGTTGGGTGGACTGAATTCTCTATTCTCGTGACGGTAATTATTGTCGTTGATTGAAACTACCTGCTGACAGCAAGTGACATGTAGTTCGCTACTCACCCAACAACGCGATCCACACAACGGAAGCTGTGGAAGTCGCCATCCGCTGAAGTCAATGTTCTAATCTCTTGTGGGAAATCATCGCCCAGCAGTTAATAGCAAGTGTCATATAGTTCGCAACGTCCGCGCAGCATCTATACAACGTGAACTGACAGCTGACTTGTTCAATTCACCCGATGGTGAATTTCACGTTTTATTTTAGGGTGTAAAATCGTCGTGCGGCCCGTACTAGCAAGTGCTACATAGTTTACATCATTGAGACTACCCGACCGACGCGCAGAGCGGTGGAGATGTCGACAATACCGTGTGGGGTGGAGTGCACTTTATAATATCGTGTGTGCGACCGGTGCCTCCGTGCCTCGAAATCCGCGATCTGGTCTTAGGACTGCTGAACAGTGCTGCCCCGATGTGGATGCTGCGACACAGGAAATAGTGAACTTAGTTGGAGTGCGTGTTGCTGTGCCTGCAAGTGACATATTGGTTCTCATCGCCCTTTCTATCTCTCACAACCCCTTCGCCGGGAAGTGTTTTGCCGACAAAGACCACGTCCCGTGGCACGAACTGCAGAACGTAATTTCCTGTGTAGACGTTCTATGCGTTTCCGATATCTCCAAGAGTCGCGTTTGTTTTCAACTAGCACGCATTAGCGCGGACATGGTTGACACAGCGTGGAGCGGAGTGATTTCTTGTGGAAATAATCAATGCGATTTGCGGACACCCATGTGACAGATCATGTTCCTAGGAATCACTGTAACATAATTCCATTGGAAACCCTTTGATTCGTTTCTCAGATCATCGAGTGTTACGTCAGTTTTACAGGAATTTACGTGTTGGCGAATGGTACGGGAACTCATCTCTTTATACTGCAGAACTGGTGATGTGACTGGTGAAATAATCGTAAAATTGTTCATCAATTCTATCTGAAGAATGTGACACAACTTTACAATTTAACGTAGAAGATTTGTTCTAGTGTGCTAAACTCGTGGATATAAACAGTTCTACCCTGCTAGCGTTGGATGCGTGTGTGTAGGATTCTAAAAATAATTCGCAATTGACGGTAATGCGTAGAGTTCTACAGCAGAAAAGTAGTGCGTAATAGAGTAGTGATAGAAAGTTTTACTCATATGCAATATATAGTGCGGGCTCGATTTGAAGTTTAAAATCAAAGCAAAAACTTAACGTACATGACGTCTCTTGCGAACCAATCATATTTTTCATCAAGAGCGTTTATCAACAACATTCAGTGACTGTGAACCTCATAAAATCTTGAAAAGATTACAAATACATTAGTGGTGCGTTAAAGTTATTTAATACTTTCTCAAAAAACTTTCAAAACTCTGCTAATTATTTTGGATGAGTTTCCTGAACCTTTACGTTGCTCTATAACATCTATAACAGGTGACAATTTCATAATATCCTTTGAAGATTTTCAATTTGTTCACAACACCTAAAAGATCTGCATTAATATCCCCAGGAACCTTCAACGGGAGCCAACATTACAATATCGTGTTAAGATCCACAATTCCGAAGCTGCCTCCTGTCACGTCAGATTACGAGCAGCTCGAATCGTCCACCAAATTCCCCATCTCCCGTACACATCGCCCCCCCCCTGGCCCCGCAGCTCCGCGATATCATGTCGGTTGATCTCCTCCCGACGGGGTGAGTGTGAAGGCTTGCGTGATGGCCGGCGATGGTTCCCGGAACACCACCTGAGGATCGGCGCCCTCAGTCGGCAGATCCTATCGCAGTCACGCACGCGGCTTATCGGGCGAATCGCCGCCTGCGCGGATGGCACCGGGCGATCGTGACCCGCGCCCCGCCACGACGCCGCCCACGCCGCGACTGACAGTCGCCACATGAGCGCACACACCGCTGCTCACACACCATTCACCCCCACCCCCGCAGCCACGAGCTCGACTCTGGAATGAAACACCGCGCCGGCACAGGTCGTCGCATTTGTATTCACGACGCGACGCGGAGAAAACAAAGCGCACGTTGTTTTTTTGTTTGTTCTCCGCACGTGCGTTCGGAGACGACGCCACGAGGAAAGTTTGTGTGCTGGCTGCTGAGAGGTATTGTCCTGCAGCGGAGGGAGGTCGACGCTAGGCGCGCGTCCGAATCTAAACGGAAGAGCGAGTCGTAAAATTGCCGACGCGGTTGGCGTGTGAGGCGTCTTACCGAAGTGGTTTGACGGCGGCGTGGACGACCGCACAGCCTTCGTTCAGGCCCCGGCATAGCAGAGCATGATTTGTGCAGCGTGCGGGCCACCGTTTGCGAGGGGCGTGCGTGAATACCCGGGCACGTGGTCGCGGGATCGATTCTTGGGCGCGCACCTCGTCTCGGAGAGCGGCCGTCGAGTCGCCGTCGCTTGTTCGCGAAACCGGCAATGCTCCTGAATGGGGATACTGTGAGCGTGTGTGCGGGATATGGGAGGGGTCGCTTATCGCGAAGACACGGAGCCGACTCCGCTCGCCGTCTGGCAGCAAAGAAGATAGAGCGCCTTCCGGCTGGCTTCGGAGCGCATCAACAAACAGCGCGTGGCATCGACGCGCTGTCCGGCCGTCGGGTCAGCGTGTTTGTGGCGTTTTAGGGCGCGCGTTCAGTGTGTGTGCGTAGGACGACCCCGGGCCAGCGTGTGGGGTATTCGCGGGCCCGCGGGTGGCCGGTAGGTGAGCGAAACGCGCCGAATCGAGTGTTGCGCGATCGCCACGCGACGTCAGCCGAGACCTCGTGTGGAGCGCGCCTCGCATGTTGATGCAGCGACGCCCCGCCCCCGCTGCCCCTCTCACAACCGCAACGCCGTGCCGGCTGAGCCGCGCACGGTCGCTGTTTAATGGGAGCCGCCGGTTCCCGAGTTCGAGACCCGGCCGGCCCTACGGCTCCGGAATGATCGTTCACCCTTCCAACACGCACTACAGGTTGTGTGTTTGCCCGTGGACTTTCCAGTTGCGCTGTAAATACATGTAGCACCGCGCGGACGGGTTGTAGTGTACGCGTGAAGCGTGCTTCTGAATTTCAATACAGAAAGATTCGTGTCGTTAGGATGTAGTAGGTATCGTTTTGGGTTTTTACATCAGCAGGTTTGTGGGACCAAGTTTTTAGGAGGTGTGTAAACAAAAGGGTGGGGTATATATCATTCGATTAATACACCCGGTGGGAGAACTCGTTTTAAAGCGGAAAGGAACTTGTGAAGTAAAACGTGACTGAACTGTGAAAATGTACACATGTAACTCTTGAAGTAGACAAACAGACAAGTGAATAAACTTTATAGTTGTCAAACGGAAGGAACGGTGAAGTGTTAAACTAAAACTCAAGTTGATCTGTGATGACCTGTCGGTGACAACGCCGCGATGGCAGCCAGCAGTCACCATCATCATCACCATCATCACCACAAAGACAAAGACAAGGACGATGCTGGCCACAACATCCATGGGGTAAGCTAATATTCTCCCGTCTTTTTCTCGCGAAGAATTTTTTCAGACTGCTCTTTCGCGTGTCCGTCAGCGCCAGTTTGCATGACCCCGTAAATTTATACTTTAATATTTCTAAATTTCTGACTTTGATAAGCTACACGCACATCCTGCTTTTTTTCGTGTCTGATGTGAATAAGTAATTGAAGTGGATATTTATAACTCATCTTAAATGGAACACGGTTTCTCCTACGGGTATTTTGATGTGCGAAAATATGTACGAACATAAAAAATATGCACTTCTAAGTTGTGTTATGTTTATAAAGCCTCTGAAACGGTGTATGTGCCTTAATGTTGAAGAAATAGATTTATTACGAAGCAAAATATACTGACCTTGTAATAAACACTATTGCAAGGACATTCTAGGACAAAATGTGATATGCATATTGTTTATGAATGTTATATCTGCGGTGCTGGACGAAAATGTAACGCATAACAGGAACACGAGTGCAAAACGTGTAACTCACTTTAAAAAGTGTTTGATAAGAAATATTTATGACGGCATTTGTCTTTAAGTGGATGCACACATTTTTTTAAGTAATGAAATGCGATTAATCTTAATTATAGACAGCAAAGTTTGTACCTACTTTTGTAACTTCTGTTTTACGCATCAACCCAAAAATATAATTACTCTTTTTAACTCATTTTTAAACATATTGCAGCACTTTAATTTATTGCTTCGCCTACAAACATTGTAATTTTATTCAAAATGTAATTGCAAACTTAAAAAACTTGAGGTTTATATACTTTGGCCTGAGGGAAGACACACTTTCATATTCAGCGATGTTTTATCCTTGTGAACTTCCCGTGGTATTGCTACAATCTGGTGTATAATATTGAACTTTTTCTCTATCAAGTGAACGTTACATTCGTCAGGAATCCTGGCAAACATGGACTCGGTAGAACATTTCTGGGAAGTCTGATTCAATAACCAGTAGATGCAATAAACATGCACACTTTATTAACATACCAAGAACAATCTCCCTTTTCACTAGGGGTGGCTTGATCCACTATGAAATGTATTTCTTTCTACTGTAGATACTGCAATAATCAATATTGCTGGCAATGACGAATCATATAGTTATTTCATTGTAAATACCAACGAAAACTCACTACAATACCAATACCAATATGTAGCTACTTTTCATATCCGTTTGTAAGAATTGAAAAATGAGCCTGATTTGCAAACTTTCCTAAAATAGTATTACATCGAAAAGGTTATAAAATATGTATGAGTGATTTTACGATCGGATTAATCCGACTCATGCCAGCTAGCGGTGTTCCCAGGCCTGTACCGTGATTTTTTATTTATTATCCACGCCTAGGGGCAAGGGAGTCATGAGGCGAGCATGTCGCATTCCCATTACCGCACCTAAAGGAAAGCTCGGGTAGGCCAAGAAAGCTATAGCTTACGTGGTCTGCCTGATCTTTTCTTTCGTCACACAGCTACAGATACTGAGGTAATTTGTATTAGAATGCTACAGACCCATTTTTTCCCTGCCAATTCATATTCGAACCACGGACTGCCACACAGAAAGCTAGCACGGTGTTCACGAGTTATCCAAGGTTTAAAAATGTAATACGAAATATTTTAAATACGTAAAAATACAATTTGGTTTATTTTGTCGAATAATATAAGTTTCATTGAAAATGTACAGTTGGTCTCAAAATTTAGTAGGACTTTAATTTTAGCTACTGTACATCTGAACAAAAAGATTCTGACTCTGAACTCGAAATATGTTCGTCACCTGTTGGGAATGCCATTAACGTTAATTCATTTCCCGATAATATGCAATCGATGGATCCATCACTTTAAGTTCTGACGCGTATTGACGAGGCCGCGGCTGTCCGTGCGTCGTCGTTTCGCAACAACTCGTTGGAGCAAATTTTCTTCATTTTTTGACGCAGAAAAATAACACAAAAATTAACATGTAATAAGTTTCACTTTGTAACATTTTTGTCCCGCTCCCTACAAACGATTATTGATTAAGGAGGCGTTTCGCGTTTCTCTCGCTTTTAGCGAGAGAGCTCGTGTCTGGCACTTGAAAGGAACTTTATAGTAGAAGTCTACATGTTAAAGGGCGCAGTGTGTGTGCTTTTGCTAACCGTGAAAAGAGAGTATAAAGAAGGAAAGTTTACGGAAATTCGGGGTCTTGTGTTTGACTTGCTAAACGTATCTCTTAGCTCGAAGTATTGGAAATGTAAGGAGAATAATAGAACAGTGTAATCTTTTTTGAATTCGACCTACAAGGGGAAGTCAAACATATTCGAATTATCAGAAAGTCGATACTCCGTTCATAAAAAGAACTTTAAAAGTAAACTTAATTATAGTTTACATAGTAGAACAAACACCTACTTAATGTCTATGTAATAATTACTAAGCAATGTCTTGAAAGTCATATTATATTTTTAATCAATATAAAACATTTTTTCATCGAACAGATTACATTAACACGTTGTGTATCTAGATACAAAAATCATTGTTTTAAAATGTTTATCTATTATTATTCACAAAAATTTTATTAGTACACTCAACTGGATGGTTTTACCCTTTTTTGGACTTCACTGTTGATCCGGTTCTGTACATATCTTCTTTGCAGACCCAAAAGGCAATCGTTTATCAAACGATGTAATTTGAACGATTCAATTCTATACACTGTAAATAACCAATACTTTTTCGGGAAATAGTCAACAGTGACACTAGACCAATCAATGCAAATAACGGGCTTGGTTAAAGTTCATAAACCTGGTGATTAGATTGTTTAGAGTTGGATATGTGCGCTGGACAAAATCTTTATAGCATCAAGTACAAAATTCTGTATTTTGTGTCTTGTATCTGAAAGATCCACCTAAGTTGTATTTTCCTATGCATCTGTTGCATTTACAGAGAGTTTGTGTTAATGGTGTCTTTTAAATCGTACAAAATCCTGAACATTTCTTAGCATATTATATACAAAAGTGATTTTCTCCCCTGTCATAATTACATATGTCATTTGAAATTAAAACATCCTGGATTGAAATTACTTTACCGTTTCTTTAAAAACCTCTTAATCGATCATCAGTTCTAGCTTTACTTAAATTAAAACTTGGAAGCGAAACAAATGTTCCATTATCCGATTTATTAGTGATTAAAAATAATTAATCAATTTTTATTTCTAAAACCATAATATTATCCAATTCCTAGAATACATCGTTTCTTTACTAGGTCAAACAACGTGTAATATCTCAAAATTTATTTCACCTATGAAGCTAAAACAACACAAAGTAACTTCGAGGCTTGTAGCGCTCGGCATCAAAACCCGTGAGGGTCCCACGACGTAACGAAGCAACTTTGTGAAATTTTAGCTTCATAGGAGAAATAGGTTTTAAGATTTAACGCTTTGTTTATACACATTGTTGATGCAATTTAAGCCTATCAGATTTTGGCACCATTAGCATACAATTCACCCTCTGTAGACAGGTTAAAATTTGAGTGATTCGATTGAGAAAGTATGGTAATTCTAGATTTTGACTGCGTAAAAAATTAAACTATTTTGAATGTTTATCAAATTTGAAGATTCGAATATTCCATCTTTACTCCATAGACACCAATCATCTCCTGGAATATTTTGGATGATGATGATAGTGAAATTATAATCAACAGCGGTTATTATATCAACAGTATTAACATTAGCGACCTCCAACTAGAAGCGCCCCATTCGGCACGTCAACAAGTGGTTAAACAGAGCAACACCAACTATCGAACTCCTGCTCAGAAAGATTGGACCGCCACCCGGGAAACGTATAAAAAACGACGAGAAACGATCGCGGAAATGAGAACAAATTGACGAGTTTTCCCAGCGATGACTACTGCCTAAACGTTTTTAAATCTCTTTGTTCTCGAATCCCAATAAAGCGCGTCAATTTCGGAGATTATTTCTGCTCGGATTGGTGCTCGGGCGGGCCCTTGACCATGGGCAACGCGTCCCTAGCGACGGGAATAGGATGTTATTAATCCGCCGATGAATGCCTTGCGCCGAGGCTGCCGAGTGGTACGTGTAATTAAATTCCGAGGCCGCGCCTGGGAAGGGAGCGGGGCAGACGCAAAAATGAAATTGGACTCCGTCGCAGCGCACTTCATGAGGCTGAAAGAAACAAACGGAGAATGATAGCGCCCGTAATGATGACTGGGTTTCTCTCGCTGTTTGCCATGGCGTATGAGTTCTAAGTTCGTTTCGCTTCGTAAATCGTAGAGTCCCGGTGATTAAAATCACAGTAAGACACGATACTGACGTATTTATAGAGACCTTTTTATACCATGAAAATTTATTAAAACCGAAAATTTATTAAGACACTCTCTCCGAAATGAGAATTTGATATTTAATTCATTCTATTGGTAAGTTTTCATATTCTTAAGTTCCTCTTACTTTGATAATTTATTATTTAATGTATACCTCAATAGAGTTCACTCCCCTAATATCCGTATCTAGTAGTTATTGAAATTAGAAAAGAACTATGTTGTACACATGCTATTAAACATCAAAATGTAGATGTGTCTTGATTAATGTACAATATCAAATTAAATTTAGGTTGGTAAAGAAAAGTAAATAACTAGTATTAGCACGTACGTGGTGTCGACAGTCTCTACATAGTATCCTTTAACGTTACTTTCATACTTGTGCACTGTCAACACGTGAGAGCGACGTCACACAGAGTGGTAGAAAGTTCAGGATTTTATTAAGAATATTCAATAATTATTTATCAAAGTTGATAATTTAATGAAATAGTATTCATGTTCTGGCAAATGCGACTGAGTGTTCATATTTTGAAAATTTCTTACCAGTAAGGACAAGTATTTCGTCATTAGAACAGCTATAAATGTTTACTTTGTAAGTCAATTTGAAAATCATTCCATTTTCCCTTTCCAAGTCTTTGACATATTAGAGAGAAATTGTCGGTCTGTACTGGCCAAACGGCTCCAGACCGGGCCAAGGCCTACCAGCGTTCCGACCTTGCGGACAAGAGTTACGGTTAGCACGTAGACATCCCTACGTCGTATGTATTTCGGCCTTCTCAGCCTGAGAAGTGAGCATTCGTATGGTCAGTCAGGAACAAATACCTGGGACATGCAAGGAAAGCGCACACTATAATCTGCCCCGACCGGGAATCGAACCCGTGACCGCGTCATGGAAAACGAGCACGCTGACCAATGAGTCATTACCTGTGGGTCATTAGGCAGAAATTACCTCTGATAATTCCTTCAGATAAACAAATGCTATCACCGGCTTAGTCGACATCAAATAAAATTTGTAAGACAATTATTCGCATCGTTAAGAAAGTTTCATTAAAATATTTTTAGTTAATTTTTGAGCTCACAAATTGCAAATTAAAAAAAAAATATTGTTATGGAGAGGAAAAACAAATGTGTACTAAAACTTATTACGTGTTATTATAGAATTGTTCATGCTCGTCATAAAGAACACGCTTAGAATTAGACTCGAACATACAAAAAAAAGAAGATGCTTACAAAAAATACAATAAAGAATGCACGGAATTCAGAATTAGAATGGTTATGAAAAAGATCTACTATTATTACAAAGTTTTCTTACTTGTTCACATCCTTAGCTTCAAACTAAGTTTCGTGATATCATAATGCTACCGCCCAAGTCAGAGGACCTAGATGTCAGTTGGTAAGCTTGCTCTGTTTCTTACGCCGTGTCCGTTTATAAGCTGTCTGGCGACGGCGCTACAGAAGCAAAACACTCACCTGGTTTTGCCTTAACCTCGTACATAACCGCAAATAACAGCATTCCCGTCGCAAGAGTCAGGAAACCATTTAACCTGATGAAACCTGACGCCACCGTTTCTTTCTTTTACTTTCTGTACTAGAGTAGAGGGAGGAAAAGAACAGGAATTATCTCAGCGCTAGAATCTCGCATTTCTGGTCGTAAAATTCGTGTTTAAGTATCACGTAAGTAAGTTTGAGCTACATCATCGCACACATACCAGGATTAAGATCTATTATTGTTCCAAAGATGGTTAAAATTGGTGGAAATGGCGGGCACTCAATTTTATACCCCAAAATTGGGATGTCTGTTTAGTGGCGGATCGATTGCAGAATGTGACGCGCATAATTCTATTAGATTAAAATATTTTGAGGTGACACTTCGAAAACAAGTTAGAAGTAATATCTAGTTGTGCCGTTCTGGTGAACGTTAAGGTGTTTTAATGTTGGGGGTATTTTCCATGAAGGCCTTTCACATTTTCACAATTTTCTTAAAATCATTACCTTCTTTAATTTTTTCAGATAGAGGAAAGTTAATTTCTTAATATTTTATACATAAGTTGGAATATTAAGAATATGAATTCTAATACTATAGTATTATTCAAATATTAAATGAATACTTTCTAATATCATAAGTATATAAGTTGAAGTATTTTTTCTATCGCTTAATTTTAGATCTTCACAATTACGCCTTATAGTATATAAAATCATGAATAGTGATTGAGTAATAGAACTGAGAAAAAGTATAGCTTCGGTATGCCGGACATTTCCACTCATTTATTTCTTTGTATTTTATAAAACAAAATAAAATATTACGAGTGTATAGATACTATACTTACTCCAGTATCCACGTTAATCCCTTCGACGCTCGGGAAGAAATACTCTCGTACATAAGGTATCTTTTGTACTTGTCTTGTATAAAACATGACTGAGGGTGTCTCTCATAAGATCAATCTTTGTGCATAAATAATCAATTTCGGTTTACCATATAAAATATTTTGAATTTCTTTTTCATGTTTTTCTTGAATATTTGGAGTATTCTCAATCAGAAAGGGACAGATCTGCACAAAGGAACTTTGTCAGAATGTTTTACGCTCGTGTCCAAAGATTTCGCTCCACGTCATATGCATTTTAATAAATGTTCGTTCGTTTAGGAAAACGCTCTTGCTTGCACCGGTGATGCGCTGTATAATGCATCGCATGAAGGGCCTACGGGCGCTGTCCCACCTCAGGCCTCGTTGCAGTTACCCTCCCCAGCCTCTTCGAACTCC